GGATCCAGGAAGGCTGAACATCCTTTAAGAAGGAAATCTTAGAGGCGCAGGAGCAGGCTATCCCTACGTGCCAAAGGACAAGCTGGCAGGGGAGAAGACCAGTCTGGCTGTACAGGGAGCTTTTGCAAGAACTCAGAGGGAAAAAAGGAGGGTTTATGACATTTGGAGGAAGGGACAGGTGACACAGGAAGAGTACAAGGGTGTCAATGGGTCATGTAGAGAGAAAATTAGAAATGCAAAAGCTCAGCTAGAACTCAATCTGGCCACTGCTGTGAACGGTAATAAAAAGTGCCTTTATAAATATACTAACAACAAGAGAAGGCCAAGGAGAATCCCCATCCTTTATTGCGTGCTGGGGGAAACAGTGACAAAGGCTGAGGAAAAGCCCAAGGTACTAAATGCCTTCTTTGTCTCAGTCTTTAACAGAAAGATTGGTGATCCTCAGGGTAACCGGCCCCCTGAGCTGACAGAAATGGAAGTGTTGTTCTGCTGGAGACTCTACAGAGGGATTCTGGATAGGCTGGATTGATGGGCTGGTGCCAACTGTATGAGATTCAACAGAGCAAAGTGCTGGTCCTGCACTTGCGTCACAACAACCCCATGCAGTGCTTGGGGCAGAGTGGCTGGAAAGCTGCCTGGTGGAAACAGACCTGGGGGTGCTGGTTGACAGCTGGCTGAACATGAGCCAGCAGTGTGCACAGGTGGCCAAGAAGGCCAATGGCATCCTGGCCTATATCAAGAATATGTGGCCAGAAGGACCAGGGTAGTGTCTGTCCCTCTGTATTAGGCACTGTTGAGCCCACACCTCGAATCCTGTGTTCAGTTTTGGGCTCCTCACTGAAAGAAGGACATTGAGGTGCTGAAGTGTGTCCAGAGAAGGGCAATGGACTTTAAAGAAGAAAAGTCTTTTCTAGTGCTGCATGCAATGTTCTGAGAACGTGTCATCTTGTGATATGAAGGTGAGGATCATCCATAGCAGCCGGTCATTGATGCGGCTGCCACCAAGCTCCTTGACTTAAAGCCATCATCAGTGTCTTGAAGGCCTAAAATAGCATCACATGTATCCTGCACACCCCACGCTATTCCTGGGGTAGGGCTGCCAGGTCTCAGTACAGTCCACAGTGGGCGCAACACTGACCTGAGCTGTCAGTCCTTCCCCTCTGGCAGCCTTGGCTTTGGCCACAGTGAACCGGCACCGTCCCAGGACTACATACTTCAAGGCATCTAGCAGGAACAGCTCTATGGTTGTTTGAGTGTTGCTCTGGTGAGGTGCTGATGCAATTTGACCTGAAAAGATGCTTATTTCTCCCAGCAGGACCACTGGCACCACTTTCTTTCAGAGGAGAAAGTTGAGAGCCAAGAGCCCTGGTTTTGTTGCTGATAGGGAATGAATGGTCCCTTTCATGCCTCAGGACCTCAACTCAGTGTTCTACCTCATTCCTACTGAGTGAGCTAGAATCTGACCCTTGCTTTCCCTTGGGCTTCTTGGTTGATTGTTTTTAAGTACTGTTTTGTACATGGTGATTATTTAAAATTGAGAAGAGGGAACTTTTTTCTACTCTATTGGTCTCTTGGCAGAGCACTCAAGCGAGGAATTTGCACCATTTAGTTTCTCCATGGTATGTCCTTCCAGATCAAAGGGTTGGTCTGTCTTTCGCCATCAGCTGGCTCTGCCTTGACCACCGCAGATTCATTATTATAAGAGAAATTCCACATATATAAGTTCTTAGTTGTTCTCCCAGCTCTGTCTCCCATCTGCTGGACTCCCAAGTGGTCAGTGAAGCTGTCCTCTTTCTTCAGCTAGTGCTGCATTTCTCTGAAGCTACAATTTCTTAAAAACTGGTACAGAGAACAGACCCAGAGGAAGGTGGATTTAAAAATATTTAGAATCACACCAATTCAACATGTGACTACATGGTTAATCAAGTGGCACTTGTAAAGGGGCATTGCTGGCAATAAACACCCACTTACGTTGTCCAGTAATGCCCAAGCTGCACTTGCTTGTACACCGGCATGATCATGGTGCAGGCAATTTTCCTATCTCTCAGTTAGCTTGTGCTTCTACTTGTTGGCTCTTCAGAGGCAAAATTAGCTCATTATAATCCTAATTTAAATAATAATTTTATGTAGAGGTTGCCACTTATATACATATATATAGTTCATTGTGTTTGCATATGCAATATGTATCTACGTTTTACAGATCCCTTTGAACTGGTGGAGGGACTTGCAGGTATCTACAGACCAGAGATTGAAACCATTATTTTCAAGCGATGTGCTGAGCCTGAATTTTTCTGTGGCCATGCCCTGAATTTGTATCACCACATCACTGAAGATTTTATGATGAGAGGAATGGAAAGGGTTTTTGGCCTTCTGGCACCTACTCCAAGACTGAGTTTGCCTTTGAGCATGAATAGTTGTCCTAAATTTAGAGGCTATTTACTTGTGTTGTAAGTGTTCAGAGGAATGACAGGGGAGCAGGGCTGTAGCATACTTGATGTGGCATTTGTGCAGCGCAGAGGAGCCAGATCTCTTGAGACTCACCCACTAGACCCAGTTGCCTTTTTGAGAACTTGGAGAGGAGGCAGGTTGAGATGGGAAGAGTGCCAACATCTCCCATGGGTTTCCTTTGCCTCCCCCTGAGTCTTGCCAGGGGTTATGTGAGGACTTTTAGACCTCTTGTCTCTCTCTTGCACTGCCTTCAGAGAGTGTTTTAATGACTCCATGTCTTCTCAGTAGAATGACTGCAAGCTTGTTTGTCCTGCTGAAACCTTCCCTCCGGTTCCTTCAACTTGGCAGCTCCGATGTCCTGGATAGCAAGACTTCCCATGTGAGCCCTGGGTGAGTCACTTCACCTAACAGCTGTCCTTACTCATCCCATCTTGCAGTTCAGTTGCAAAACCTCCAGGACTGAAGGTCAATGCAGCCCCTAAAATAACAGATCCCAGATATGCACCGGGGCCTTTTGGTGCGCTGCAGTACTGATACCAAGCTCAGCTTCAAGATGAGGTCAACTTTCCATCTCTCCATCCAGGGCAGTTTCCCAAGACATTCAAAGTCAAAGGGTATATCTGGTGTTTGTTCCAGATCAGCACAGCTTCTCAAGTCTCTGTCTTGACAGATGGCTTCACATTGAGCAGTTGCCCTTTGCCAGCTTTTCTGCCCAGCCAAAGTAGGATGTGACCTGGTAACTAGAGTGTGACCTGGTGCTAGGACCTATGAAACTAGATTCTGTTTCCTGGCCTGTCCTGAAGTAGATTTGAGGGATTGGAAACTCGTTTAGGAGAGAGATCATGCTGGTGCAAGAAGAGGCCTCCATGGGATTCCTGTTGTTAAATAATAAGGCAAATGGCTTCTGCTCTAATCTAAGTAGGTTGCTGTTTTTTGGCCTGGAGAAGCTCTCCAGATCAGGAAGGCAGTTCTCTTGCTTCCCCCAGTGCTTTTTGGAGGCCTTTCTCCAAGTCTTTGCTCTCACAGAGGCAACAGCAGGTGCTCTTCGTCTTGACTTCCTGTAAAACATTTCTCAGCAAAGCAGGCAAAGTTGCATGATGCTCTACTGGGAGTGGGGGACCACCCAATTCTTCCAGCAGGACCCAGAGCTCAAAGGGGAGGGGGAGTGGGAAAACTAGGTGTAATCCTTCTGCCCCTACTGCCTGGAGGCAGGAACATCCCCATCTGTTTCCCTGCTCTTTTGTCCTCTTGCTTTCCAGTAATACCTGCTACTCCACTCACTTTGATCCTTGCTTTGGAGTCAGCAGCTGTGCTGACTTTTCCCAGTGTGGCTGAAACCAGGCAGACAGAGGGACAGTTGCTAGAAGCAATTGAGTGTCTGCCTGATGTCTTTGGTAACTCTTTTGCTTTGCATTGAGGTGGTCCTGGTGACTGATGGCAGCTGGTAAATTTGGAGAGAGAGAGAACTGCCTTCAGCACACAGTGGGACTTTTGTCCCTGAGATAGGAGGGTTGGTTCTACCAGCTCAAAAGAAACTCTTGAGTGCTGAGCCCTCTCCCTCTTTGGAAAGTGAGGGGGGTGGCTGCGTTTTCAAGGTCAGTTTTGTCTTCTTGACTGCTGTTGTGTGGATCTCTTGTAATCTCAAGTACATCCTGGTGGAGAGGATAGTTGCAACACTGTGCGTGCAGTATCAGAATACAGGACATTGCCGTAGTCTGAGGGGCTTGCAGGATTGTCCCTTGTGACATTTCTAGCATGGTCCTGTTGTGACTCCTCTCCTTGCAACTTTATGGATGACTACACTGGTTTGCACGGGTAAGGGATGTGGTGAGTAAATATGTCTGCTAAGACGTTGGACTATTTTTGTTCAAGGCTTGTTTTTTCCCTAAGCCAGAATGTAGTTGTAGGGACAGGGTGTTTCTCAGGGTACCAACTGTCTGAAGGTGAAGGGCAATTCAGTGATGGAGCTGGAATGAGAGCTCAGGAGCCTTTATTGCTTATCAGTTTTGTTCCTCTTTTTCCCCTCTGTGGCCATCCAGGTAAATCTGTACTGCCACCACCTGCATCTACAAAGCCAAACACCTCTATAACATGCCCTCAGCCAGGGAACCTGACTTTTTTTGTGGCATATGTGAGATATTTTGAGGCATTCTCTCATCACAAGGTCTTACAGCATGAAGAGGTTAAGGCTCCCCAGACTGAGCCCAGCATGCAGGGAGAGTGGAGGCTGGATATGGGGGCAAGTTTTGCCTGCAGTTTTGCAAGGGTGGCAGCCTGACTGCTTTCACTGCAAAAGGAGGGAACAGAGGGGGACACCCATCCCGAGCAACTGTAGAAGAAGCCGCACAAGACAGAGGTTGTGGAGGATGGAAGGGACTGCGGGAGCTGGGGGTTCTTGTGGGGGCCTGTCAGGAAGGAGTTCCCTCCATGCTGGGGCTCGGCATCCCCGTGTCTTGCAAGCTGAGTGGGCGCTGTGCCACTGAGCCTGTTCCCACAGAAGGGAGAGTGTGAACAGCCAATGGTGCAGGCGGCTGGCATGGCACCTCCCCACAGGGACTTTGGCCTTTTATCACCTGAGGCAAGGGGGGAAGCTCCCCTGTGGCTGGGCTTGGTGCTTTCAAAGCTCAGGGTGGTACGGGGACAGCTGAGCGCTGACCACGAGGCAGGTGAGTTTGCTTCTGCAGCCCCTGGGCTTGTGTCTGGTGGCAGATTGGTACAAAGGGGCTGCACTGTGCCCCTGCACAGCTGGAGAGGGGACAGTCTGTGAGGGTGGGGAGCATCCACCAGCGTGTTCGAGAGCTGCTTTGTTTTCTTAAGGACTAAGACCTTGCCTGATCCTGTACAGAAATTTATGGCAGTCCCTGCTTTCAAGTGCCTAAAGGCAAGTGAACAGCAGAGAACTGACACCAATTCCCTCCAACCTCTCTATTCCAAAATGTTTTGAGTGGGGGAAAGCCAAGTTGACAGCTTTTCCCCAGGTGAGATTTCCTGGTACTGACTCCTTTGTGCACTCTGTGCCTATCACACATCTAGAAAGCAGCTTCTTTCAGGAAATATTTGCAGTTTCATTTTGCACTCTTTAAACCTTAGTCATTGTGGTGGCAGCTTTGCTTCAGTCATTAGCAAAATTGGGCAGTGTCCACACCTTCAGATGCATTTGCTCTTAGAAGGAAAGTGTTGTGCTGATTCCAGAGGGTTTCTCCTCTCCCAGTAGATGTTTGTTGCTGATTGCTTCCCCCACTTTCTCTGACTATGAGCAGTTTCATGGCTGTGTCCTCTTGACACAGTGGATGCTGGCATAGCTTTGCTCCCCCTTTTCACCCTCTGAACCCTGTTTCTTGACATCAGCTTCTCTCACTGGTCCCTGAGTTTGCCTGCTCTCAAGACAAATCAAAGTATGTGGGAGTCCTGACTTCCCCTTTTGCTATTTATTCTCAAGTCAAGGTTGTAGTTTGGACATTTGCTTTCAGTGACAACTTCCAGTGTGTGCTGGCCTCCAGTTCTATCTCATTCTTGCCTGACTGCTCTGCATGAATGTTTGTGCTGGCATGAAATCAGGGATGGGAACACATGTTTAAGTGTAGGGAGAAGACAGGTTTGCTTTCTTCGGTCACAGCACCCGCTGACGTTTGCTAAAGGTTTTCTGTCAAGACGTCAGCCTGTGTGTGCTCAGATAAATCGGCATGTCCAGCATTCTGCACCTGAGAGGATGTGCTCAGCTGCAGTGGAGCTGCTGGGGAAGGGAGAGCCTGGAAATGGGAGGGCTGGCTGAGGGCAGAAGCAAAGAGCTGGCCTCTGGGAGGGGTGCAGGGTGCTGCTGGTGGGACTGAGGGAGCTGGTGGACTGGAAGTCTGCAGCTGTCTTGGAGGATGCCAGCGGTGGCTCTGGCAGCCTGTCAGGGGAAGAGTAGGAGAAGGAGAGTGCTGTACCCAGCTCAGACTGGGTAGAGCAGTGGCATCTGGGGGTAGAGGTGGCAACCCATATCCGTAGGGCAGTGTGGTGGCACTAAATGCAAGGAGCATGATAAAAGAGGTGTGAGTAAACTTAACCTGTTCCTTCTTCTGTGATGTCTTGGCTCGTGGAGATGTTGGGTGCCTGTATCTCCAGTCCAAGCTTGCTGGTATGACACATGGTATGAGACAAGATGAGGTCTGTGTGTTCCCCTCCGTGCCTCATGCTGGGCTGTGACTCTCTGGTAAGCACTTTTCCCTCAGGTGATAAGGCGAGAGGTTGAGAGTTCAGCCCCGTGTCCCAGGCTGATCGGGAGAGCAGGTGCAAAGGTTGGTCTAGAGAAACCCTTACTGTGTGGATAACGTATGTGGTGTGTGACAAGGCAGGGGCAAAAAACAGCACTGCTTTACCAGTGGCTTAGACTGTGAGGACCAGATGCATCCAGAGTTGGTCAGGGTTGCCTTGTGGTATCCCAGTCTTGCTGCTCTGTCACTGTCTGGAGCTGGCTTTTGGGAGGTGAGAAGAGGGAGAGGCAGGGTTGAGGAGGCTCCTGGGCTATTTACATGTGTCAGTGTGAGCTCTGGGCTGTTTGCACCGCTTCTCTGCCTAGCACAGAGATGATTCCCTCTGCTGCGGTGTGTGTGTGGCTTTGAAACTAATTTGCTCAATCATTTTAATAAATGTAAAAGGGATGTCCTGGTGTGCAAGTAATGGGGCATTAATCCATGCCTAGCTGTGTTAACAGCACTCTAGGAAGGAAATACGCCCATGCAGTTCTCACTGTTAATTATGGGGTGTTTAACCTAGGATTCCCCTTCTGTGATGGCTGCTCAGCCTTTTTGGCTTTCAGGTGAGTCTCTGGTGGCTCTCGTTTCCCCTGCCCACCCACTACCATTTTCCTCACAGCTCCTCAGCTCCTTGTGCCATGCAGATTCCCAGTTCCAACAGTGAGTGCCATTGTACACCTGGCCATGAAGTTTAATAATACAAAGCCTTTTTGAGACATCAGCACCTTTGTGGTGTTGCTGGCTTGTCTGCTGCCCCAGTGCAGGTGCTGGTGGGAGATTTCCTAGGAAGGTACAAGCCTTGCTCCCCGACACTGCTCCTACAGGATGCCTCAGAGCTACACCCCTGCTTGGCTGCAGATGCTTGCCTGCTTTTATTTGCAGCTTTTGGCTCCTTAGAGCACTGTGTTTCTGGGGAGATATACTTAGATTGTTACTTAATCTCTTTTCTTTCTAGGCTAAATGTATAAAGTTCTGAATTTGTTTATTAAATGTCCTATAAAATTATTGGCATTCTCTTCCCAGTCTGGTTTATCCACCTTTTAGACTGCAGGACTGTAGAAGCTATTTTCTTGCCCTGGATGTGACTGGGGTCTGGCTCTCTGCAGGAACTCCCTGGACAGAACACTGGGGGCTTCATCATTCACCATCTATAAAGGACTTAGTGAGTTCCACAGATTACAGCAAAGTGCTCAGATAAAAGTTTGCAGTGACTTCGGGTTTGTTTTGCAAATGGTCATTCGTTGGAGCTCTGTTTAAACAAACAGAGTTCAAATAAGCTTTCCACTTCAGTGCAGTAAAATCCCTTAATTCATTAAAATCCCCTGGCCACAGACATAAAGGCCTCTGCTGTGCCAGGTGCTGTTTAAACAGTTATCAAGTGCTGGTGTCTGCTGTAAAATGATCACATTGTTCGCTTCCAGTCGGTCGTCCACGAGTTGAGTGGCTTTTGTTAGGGGAGATGATACTAGTCCTGGTATTTGCTGGCTGTACAGCCAGCACCAAGGAAACTTGTAACTTTGCCCAGTTTTAAACCCAGGAAGGTTGTTTTTACCCTGTCTTGCTGTGCAGCTGCATCAGGAGCGTCTGTTCCCTGGTGGGAAGCAGGAGCAGTTTTCCAGCTGGATCGGACAGCTGGGGAGGGCTGTGTAGTTCCTGGGCAGGTAGACAACTGAAGCCAAAAGTCAAGAGGAAAAAGGGAAGAGAGAGCTTAAACTCAGCTCTCCCAAGTCCCTCTTGGTACGGAGGGACTCCATCACCCTACTTGTGTCATCAGGTAAGAAACAGCCCTGTGATATATTTGTGTGTCCATACTGGTCTCTCACGCTCTTGGCTACCTGGCAGTGGTGAATATTGTCAGCATTGCTGTCTTTTCTTGGTGTTGCCCTTTGCGATGGGTGCCTGGTCTCCTGAGTGCCTCTCTGCAGGAAAGGGTACAGCAGGGACAGCAAGGGGGGAGTTATGCCAGAGTTTGGTGCAGGCTATCAGGAACCACTCAGTACACGTATTTTGTCAGAGCTGCCTCAATAAACGCAAATATCGTATTGAGGGTGTAGACATTATCATGTCTCATGAGTTTTTGTGGCTCAGGGAAGAAATTGTCTGAGTGCTGCTGATACACCTGATGAAAGCATAGGGCATCTGATTCCCAGGCTGGAGGTGAGGAGGCGAGGATATCTCCAGAAAGTTGAAAGTTTTGGCTGCTTCTGAAATTTTCTCCATTGCCCAGATTTCTTTGTGTGGCAACTTCTACCAGCTCTCATGAAACAGGAGCAGTTAGGAGTTTTAGAGAAAACTGGTTCCTGCAGTCTTGCAGCTTCAGTGCTATGCCAACACAGCTGAGCTGAAAGGAGTGGGCCAAAGGGCAAAGTCCCATCAATAGCTTGAGGAGAGACAGGCACTGCTTAAAAGACAATGTGGGCACAAGACGGAACATGGGCTCTCCTGTTTGGGCTTGGAAATAGAGGAAGGATAGTTTGGAAGTGCAGTTTTTTTTGAAGACTGTCCTTTAGAAACAGCACGTGTGTGTTGGAGGGAAGTGCTGAACAAGTCTTGTAATGACACGTGATTGACTTGGGCTGGCTGGGTGGACCTGCAGTGGGTTGGGGATCCACATGGTATGGTGCGAAACGCTCCTTGGAGTTTGAGAGAAGTGACAGACACTGCTGTCCTGGATGCTGGGCAGAGCTTGTGCCCTGCCTGGCTGCTGCCCTTCCTCACATGCTGCTAGAGCCTGATGGTTCTGGCAACTCTTCCCTCCATATGTCCCTGTGTATTTATATACATGCACACATTTATAAGGCTCCCTCTGGAGCTCAGTCTCCTCTCTAAGGAGATCAGGTGCTCCCTTAAGTCACTTGTTCCTCAGGTGGCCTAATCCTACAGCCTGCCCAGTAGCACCTGAGCTTCAGGAAGAGTGTAAGTGTCTCAACTTTGTGTCCTTGGTGTCTTTCTGTCCTTTTCCAGGAAGAAACTGAAGTGAAAAAGACGTGACTGAAAAAGAACAATTTGAAGGAACAGATTCATTTCTTCACAAGAACAAGTTTGAATTAAATGGCTGATAAACAGATCAGGTAACTTTTAAAAATTTTTTTGAGTTGTTGGTTGTGCTTTAGGTTTTTCTTTTAAAGTCTTTCAAACTTATTTCCATTTTTGATACAGGAGGTTGGAGGTATCATCTCTTCCAGCCTTAAGCAGTTCTGATTTCTTCTCCGCTTCTTTCTTTATCTTTTTTTATGTTTTTTTTTCAACCTTCTCTTATTCTCTGTCTCTGCCATGATGTCACATCTCCTCTTTCTTCAGTTCTTTTTTCTCATTGCCTTGTTCTTTCTACCCTCTGCTTTATATCCTTCACAAGTCTGTTCCTTTTTGCTTCCTCTTTCAAAGGTCACCTTGACCTGCTGACTTCAGCTGCTGGCACCAAAGGAGCACAGCCAGCTCCTTGACCAGCCGAGGATGCAGCGCTCGTAATTACAAAGTCCATGTAGCCTTGTGCAGCCTTGTGTCCTTTTAAAGCCAGTCAGTGATTGAGTGCTTGCAGGAACATGAAGAACCAACAGTGATTAGTGACAATTAAGTACACAGTGGGAACTTTAGAGCATTAGTCCTGGCATATGCAAAGGCTTAATTTGAGTCCTCCCTGGAAATGAATTGGGATATGTTTTTGGGAAAGATGGTTTTGCCCTCTAGCTTCCTAAGAGCTGTGTCAGATGGATCTGCACAATCCTGCACGTAGTTTTAACTGTCTGCTGCTTATGAGGTTGCCCTGGATAAGTGACTCCTACATGCTGTGGGATTCCTGTGGGTTTTTTGTGATGCTTTTCTAGCATCTGCTTTTCCAGGTTACCAGCTCAGGGCAGGTGGAGTCAGTGGTGAACGAAACCTGGTGACAGAGGGCCAGGGCTTGGCAGTGCCTGAATGCTGCAGGCAAGAGGGCTGGCTCTTCTTAGCACTTACAGGAAGATATCCTAACCATGGTATGCCTGTCTTCTGCAAATGTGAACAGTCCTGAGCTGTGCTGATAATAAGACAGCACTGTGAAGTGTTTATGTGCCTAGATCTGCCCGTCGTCGGCTACTGCATTTGGAGTGCACTGTTCTTGCACACCATGAAGGACATGCTGAGATTCACCTCCATGGAGCCTGACAGGTGTGTGTTCCTGATAGCCTCAGCAGAGCAAAAGGACCAGATGTCCGTGGCCATTTGAAGCTTGGTATTTTAAAGGAAAAGGAGACATGTCCTATCAGATGTTCCCTGGCCCCTCTGATGGGCTCCTGGCAGTGTGAACAGCAGCTTGGACTAGTTAAAAGGGCTGAGGAGGAGCACTAGGAGAGGAGAACTGTGATGCCCTTCTATCCCTTCTTGTGTTAAATTGAACAAATGGCTTTATTTGCATGCTGGCCTGTGTTGTCCCTGTTTGACTAAGCCCTGCACACGTAGGTAGTGAGAGGCAGTAGCTATGCAAAAGCTAAATAGGACAGAGAGACCAAGCACAGCGGACTCTTATCCTATGAGAGAGCAGAGAGTGCTGACGTGGAAAGCAGGATGACTTAGTCACAAGGGAGAAAGCTTTTTATTCAGGTGCATGGCCTTTGTCTCATGTTATTCTCTGTGCCTCAAATACCTCATCTCTCCTGCTTTGGTCGTCTCCCATCTGTGTCTGCAGCAGTCACAGGCAGCCAAGCCAAGGAGATTTGTTTAAGCTTAGAGCGTCTACCAAACCTTGCAGCATGCATCTTTTGCTCCTTAGTAGAAAAAGATTGATGGCAAAAGACTAATATCAACAGCAGTGGTTTGATACAAGGTGAGATCAAGGGCATCGTATTTCAGTGCATGTGGAACTTAGTGTCTTGCCAGATACTGCCCCATAGTCCATCCCTACTAGTCTCCCTCTGCAGTGTGCATGGGGAAACCTGGATAGTTGGATTCAGGTGTGATGGTGTTGTTGAGCAAGGGTTTCTCATGCACAGACAGAGGGAGAGGCCCTCTGCAGTGCATGTTGCCTAAATTTGGCTTGCCCAGACACATCAAACTATTCCCCTTTATTGCTGGGGTCTGTGCTGAAACTGGGGAGTCTCTTACATTTACAGTAGCAGCAGGTAAGATCTTTGTGTCTGTGTCTTAATTCCACCTGATATAAACCCTGTGATGATTTCACTGTTGGAACAGGTTGAGAGAAGCCTGCCCTGGGTGTTTAAGGGACACTTAGAGAAGCGATGACAGTGCTGAGGGTGGAAAGGGGCACTCGTTGTGCCTCACAGTCTGTGGCCTGCCAACAGTGACTTCAGAGCTGAATTTGGGGAGACTGAGGTGATCCTGTCTTGAAATACCCTCCTTCCCAATGATGCCTCTATCTTGACATGCTTTTATCTGGTCTCCAACGTCCTCTTCCAGTGTGACTATGGGTTAAATAAGGAGGGCACCGTGATGTGAAGCTTACTGTTTGAAGTTGTCCCATGTCCTGAGAACAAGTTGAGCATAGGAGTTTGCAGGCAAATCCGTTCCCTTCTCAGACTGTGGCGCAAAGATCCCCGAGGCAGCAGAATCTCGAGCTGGTGAGATCTTGCAGCTTGGCCCTGCACTGAGCTCATGCACTGATTTGGGCCTGCTTTCCTAACATACTGTGCTTGATTTAATCTCAGTACTGTCTTGTTTGGAGTTGTGGGCTGAGCTCACATCTGTCTGCCTGTCCTTGGCACCTCTTCCAGCTGAGCCAGCCCTGAGGCTCAGTGTATGTTATATTGGTGCAGGTGTTGAGGAGGAAAGAACTTTGGCTGCAGGACAGCAGAGGCTGAAAGAAAATTCCTGGGATGTCAAGATCATGCTTAGCACTAGTGGACAAAGACTTTTATTTTTTTTCCACCCCTCCTTTGTCTGCTTCCCTCAGGGTGACCTCAAGTTGAAACCTTGAGGCTCCATATCCTGCCTTTCCCTCAAGCATGGCTGCTTGTCTGTGCAATTGCCCCTTGATGCAGAGTGCTCTGCAGTGCTCTTGGGGGGAACGTGTTTGCAGGGCTTCACCCCACCATGCCGTGGCCAGCCTCACCACTGCTGCTTCCAAAGGCTAATGCAGCCTGTCCCCCCATCCAGAGCAGCACATCACAGTCATGAAAGGCAGCATTCCTGTTCTCCCATTGGGAGGACTAGGCCTTGCTGGCTCAGCCAGCTGCAATCTAGGACTGCAGTTTAATATCCAACACATCCTGTGTTCAGGGAGCCATATCTTGTGCTTTATTGGAGGGAGCTGACTTCAACAGGCTTCCTTTGTCTCTGCGTGCAGTGGTTTATTGAGCATATAAGTGCAGGACATTTTTCTTAATTGAATTTGCTGAGAACTCATGTTTAGCTGATGTGGCTTTCACTCAGTGCCACTTGCAAGAATTCCCCATGGGAGCACAAGGATGAGTGGAAAAAGCCCCGCACTTTGGAAGCGTGTGCAGCCAGCCAGGTTTTGATTTCCCCAAGAGGTATGAGCTCACGTCTTCGCATCTGCGGCCGTGCAGGCTGCCAGTCCAGTGGTTTTGCCAGGCTACTGCTTTGTGTGTGTTCCCCTCGCCCTGGGCGGTGGGTCTGGAAACAGTTTCCCGTGGCTGCGGCCGTCTGCTCCTTGGCTGCCAGCTGGGCGCTTCTGCCGGGCCCGTTCCCACATGATGGTAGCAGCTGACGTGTCACGAACCTCTCATTAGCTGCGTATCTGATTGTGGTGCAGGAAAGCATTTGTCAGTAAACCTGCTGGCTCAGATGCCATCCGGCCCTAACTAAAGGCTGTCCACATGGTGGATGGTCCAACACTCTGTCTTTTCTCCTCTTGGGACCACAGAAACGCTTGGGTCCTGGGGAACGGGGTTTTATCTTGCTCTTAGCAGTGTGTGGGCTAGCTGTTTGGCTCCACTCCACTCAGCAGTGGTTACTCCTGATGTTTGTGCTGCTTTCCCCACCTCCCCTGTTTATACAGTGGGAGCCAAGCTTTGCCTTGGGGCAGAGCTCCCTTTGTGCTGGGGAGGGACAGCCTTGTCTCACAGTGATGTGTTAACTCTGGTCATGGAAAAGAGCTCAGTTCTTTTCTCTTTCCCTTCCCTGATGTTACCCAGTGCTAAGACATCTGTTTCTGTCTATCTCATCCTCTTACAGTCTACCTGCCAAGCTGATCAATGGAGGGATAGCTGGGCTGATTGGGGTCACCTGTGTATTTCCCATTGACCTGGCAAAAACTCGCCTGCAGAACCAGCAGAATGGCCAGCGGATGTACACCAGCTTGTGAGTACCACCTGCATGGGCAGCATCCCTCGGGGCTTTTGGCAGGGAATCCTTCCTCTTGGTTACCTCTTCCAGGTTGAGTTCAGCATTTCTAGGAACTGGACTGTCCTCAGGAAAGCCACGGGACAATCTTGAACCAAGCTATGCTTGAGCAGATAATCCAAATAGAGCAGCTATTGAGGCTGCTGAGATGAGCAGACAAGATCTCTGCAGAGGGCACACCTGTTCGAATCCCTTGCTTGGGAGCAGAGTGTTCACTGCTCTCAGAGCTCAGGACCAAACCACAGGGAGTCCCATTCAGTTCTCTGCTGAGCTGCAATCAGGTGCATGAGGGAATTTCTGCCCTTTTTCTATTTCCATCACTCTGGTATTGGAGATTCTTCCTTTGCTGTGTCAGTTTTGAAAAAGCAGTCAACCCATTCCCAGCCTAGACCGCTGTGTGTGGACCTTTTGAAGGATCACAGGTAGACACATGCTGTAGTTACCCCAGCAGTCTTGTGTCTAAAAAAACCCCAAGTGCTGCAGGCTGTAGGAAAAGAAGGAATGAGTATATCCAGCCCACCAAGTTCCTCTGGAGTTTGTGCTGGACTCATAGGGCTGTGTGTCTGCTCTGGGAATGCAGACCACACAGCACAAGTTCGTCCTAGGAACCAGACACAGGCCTTAGTTTTCCAAAAGTACTCGTGTCATTGAGGGGGAAGAAGGGACTGGGATGGAACTGATGAGGTCTGTCCTGTCCCCCTGCCACTTTGTTTAAAATTTGAGGCAGAGTGAAGATAGGAAGGAAATGCTCTGTATGTTGATGATTTTAGTCTCTGTGCCTCCTTGCTCTAACTGATGACATGTAATGATGCATGAGCTTAGGCTGTAGGCTCTGGTGCTTCCCTTGACAGTTCCCATGCTCTCTGCTCCCTGCATTGTTTGTGTACCCAGGCTTGTTGGCAGGATGCAGCTTCTTACCTTGCCTCTCCTTTTGGTTGTTTTCTGCTCCTGTTGCAGATTGCATCTCCTCCCTGAGGATCACTTATCCCCCTGACCTTACAGGTGACAGAAACAGGAGTGTGGGCAGGATGGAGAACTTGTAGGCTCCCCTTGGGACTGCATGCCAGGATGCCTCGTCCCCTGGAGGGGAGCTCCGTGGGAGAGAGGCTTTTATTCTCCAGCAATCAAGCACAGATCTGCTTCATAGTCAGGAATTGCTGTGGGATGAGGTGCTGTTAAGGAATACATAGGATTTACCCTGTATATTTGAAGTGGCTCCTTCTAAGAAGGGGAAAAGATGAGCTTTCTTAACAAAGACTGCCCAGTTACAGGGGCTTATTTTTTTGAAAATACTGTGTACCCATCAATACCAGATCTCAAAGATACCTGAGTGTCTGCTGAACACCCAGGAAGGCAGCTAGTTCATTAAAAATTTTGCTGTCTTACTTTAAGATAGCATGCCTTGCTTCTGCTCAGCTCAAGAGATCTTTAGCATCAGGGGAACCCTTCACTTGAATGAGCCAAAGACACTATGGAGCAGTCCTGAGGGCTGGAGATAGCTGGTATTTTGGGCTGTGCTGCCCCAGGTATGTTATGTATCATTTTAGTTGGCTGTTGGCTCCCTCTTCCAGCAAGAGAAAAGAGCTGGGCATGGACTTGGCTGCATCTTGCTCTGCTGCAGCTCAAGGGGCTGGAAGTGACGTGCAAGCATGGTGAGGCAGCAGGGCTGCATGAGCGTGATGGGAAGCAGCTCTTCCCAATCCCCTCCCAGCCACAGCTTTTCCAAAGCAGCACCACTGGCTCAAGGAAAAATGCCTTGTCTCCAGCACTGCAGTGGAAGAACTTGATGAGAGGGATAGGAGAAAGGTGCACTGAGATTTCTGGGGCTTGCAAATGTGTTGGAGGAGCTGCTCCAAAGGAGATGGGTATGTGTAAGCTGCAGGAGCTGGGGTGGAGTGTGTAAAAGATGGGATCCCAAAGGATGTGGGGAGTCCCAGCAGAGAGCAGGGACTCATTACTGTGACTGGCAGCAATGCAGGATGGGCTCTTCACAAATAATGTGGGATACCCTAGAACAGTCTTTTCCACCTCAGCACTACTACAGAGCAGAGATGAAGTTTATTCCTTGTGTCGCCAGATCTCTTAAAGATGAATTCTTGTTTTCATCGGCCACACTTCCCTTATTACTGCTTAAAAGAGCCTTTTGGTCCTTAAATTACGTATACATGCCTGCATTTGCACCTTTCTCTTCCCCTATGGCCATAGAAGTACCTATCCCTTCCCCAACACCCTAAGGCCACCTTCAGCCAACATCCAGGCTTCGTGCAGCTGTGATCCAGAGAGGGAAACTCTGCCATGGGATCTGTGCTGCCTTCTTGAACTGCACCTTTGGATTTGCTAGGTGTGTGTCTGTGCCTTCAAAAGCCTTTGAGCCATTCCAGCACTCTGCAACAAGGAAGGTGATAGTTTTTTTCCCCTTGGAGCACAGCACCCTGCCCCGCTCTCCCCAGGGTGAGAGCCTGAGTGCTGGCTGCCTGCTCTGGGAACTGATGTGTTAAAAGTAAGCGCTTTAATCTGCCTGGGAGGCTACAGATGACTGAGCGTTCAGGTCATCTAGTGTTTGTGTGTGTGCCTTGTGTCAAACTTCACGGAGTAAGTCAAACAAGCCGGCATGGGGGGTTTTGGCCCCCCTTATTTCCCTTCCAGATCTGGATTTAAAAATGCATACATGGGGATCTGCTTGTTAGAGCATCTCATGTGCATTTGCCACAGGGGACCCTGGATAAACAGCCCTCTCAGTGACACTTTTCCCTTTTGTGTTTCTAGAAAGCAGACAGCGTGTGCAGGGTGAGCTGGGGGTTTCAAAGCCCCTGTGAATTAGGGGTTGAAACTGGACTCGGGCCTCAACAATGGCACATTCAGAGGCTGACGCAGTTCCCCTCTCTGCTCAGGGTTTTGCTGACAGAACGTAAATGGAAACCACTCCAAGAAATTTGCTTTGTTTTTCTCTGTTCTCACCCACCTTTGAGCTCCTGTGGTTCATCTCTCTGTTTTGTTTGCAGGTCTGACTGCCTCATTAAAACAATTCGGTCGGAAGGCTACTTTGGCATGTACAGAGGTAAGTAAAGCTGAGTCAGGCGCAGCACAGCTTTTGCGTTGGAAGCACTGGTGCGTAAGTGGGAGGAAAAGCTCTGTTCTCTGGCATATAAAGCAATAACCTAGCAATATCCTAAGAGGTTGAACATTGCAGCTGTTTCTGAAAATAACCTCCTCCATGCAGTTGTCTGCTCAGCTGTCCATCACTGAGGGCTTGAGTCCTCCCTGTGGTGTTAAACCTTACCATTTCCTGATGTTCATCTGTACTAGCAGTTTAAATGAAGCTGCTGGGCTTTGTTTCAGTACTTTGTGTGTTTGTTTCCCAGCTTGGGCAAGGTCACTTTTGCCAGAGGAGCAGTAGCAAACCAGCTCTTGAAGTATCTTATTTTGCAATTGATGACTGAGTTTATGTCAAAGCGCACCACCGACATGATCAGGCCTGCTGTCTCTCAAGCATGCTAAAGTGCTTTGTTCAAGTGTTAAGACAAGCAGCAATTAAAACAAACAAACAAAAAACAACAAAAAAAACCACCTGCCCCTAGAAAAGAACTCCCATGGGGTCGTAAGAAAATCAGAGGTTGGCTCACATTGGAACTTCAGCTGTTCGGTCATTGTGTGCTGACCTGTTGGAAATCTCCTTGCTCCTTGGCTTAGGCTGTCTGTTGCAGCAGCGAGTTCCTCAGCTGACATTATACCTTTTATAATTTAAACATAAAATCCATGGAAGTTTTTAAAGATTTTGAGGAGAGCAGGCCACATTCTGACTTTATATGTAGCAGAGGAAAATATGGAGTACCTTCTTGTCTCTCAGCACAATCCAACTGGCTTAGTTGGCCTGAGGTCTGCTTCATTTTACATGCTGATAGTCAATTGCCTTCATATGCAGTTTTTATCTGAGTTGCTCAGATAGCATGCTTTGTGGCACTCATTCACTGATAAAGCCTGATTAAAGTACTACTATAATTAAGTGAGTCCTTGCTCTTTGTCTTTCCAAGCGGAAGTCCGGAGGTGCTGGTGCCTTGCTGTTGGCATGTGTAGCGTCTCTTGCTGCTTTTTCTAAAACTCTTAAGGAAACACAGACACTGTGGCTGGCTGGCCTGGGAGCAGGCACTGGCTGTTCAGGCAGCATCTCTTGCCCAACTTGCTGGTGGGCGTTTCAGGGGAGTGTGGTGGATGACGGGGATGGATTGGCTGCTTTGCCCGAGCTTTCCTGGGATCAGGCAACAAGACAAATAACCCTGAGGAACCCTGGCAAGCTCCATCTTCAATGCTAGCAGTGACGTGTTCCTCTTTGATTTTTTCCAGAAACTGGCTACTTCTGTGTTCCTAGCCAGCATTAACTTTGGCTGTAAATATGCAGTGGCAGGCCTGCTTGGTGGGGAGCAGAAGGCAGAAGCTGTTCAGGGAAACCTACAGGAGAGACTGTAGGACCCATCAGGGCATTTGGGAGAGACAGCTGAGCTGTGTAAGGCATAGGGTGGTTGAGGCATCACCAGCCACTTGTCACTCCCAAGCAGAAATCTCAAAGGGTGCAGAGGGTTTTGTGTACCTCTTGCTTTTCCCAGCTACAGTGAGTCTGGTCAGCTTGGTCCATGTCCCTACATCTGTTCCCTGAACCGGTTAGTGGCTTGAATTTACTTGTTGCCTCTGACTATTAAATGGGGAGCTGGGATGGAGAGGGCTTTTCTGAATAGTTCCTATTCCTTCCAGAAATTCATAGGTCTTTTGGCATGGTTAAGGTGCAAAGGTGAGTCCTGTGCCTCAGTTCTGTGAGCTGACATTATCAGCCCTTCCCTCACTCTCAGGGAGAGGGGTGGTGGGTAAAATACATCCCAGGTTCATGAAGAATGTGCAAGTATTTTTCTGGAAATAAGGTAAAGAGATGTCTCAGCCTTGTGGACAGGGAAATATGGAAATCAGATGGTGGGATTGGTTCCTGCTCCCTCCATCTGTCCCAGTTCCCCAGCAGAATTTGCTGAATGACTCATGAGCTCTTATTTGTAGCCTTTAAGCTGAAATTGGGAGGATTATATGTTAATGTGCTAGAGTGGCAGCTGCTGTTCCCCATGGAGGAGTCACAAGCACATCGGTTGTCCCTGCAGATCACTTGGCCTCAGCTGGAGGACAGAAGGGATTTGTTTGAGTACAGCCATTCCAACCGTGTGACTTCAGGGCTCCTTCACATGCAATTCAAAACTCCACAGTGTGGACAGGAAAGAGGCTTGAGCTTGTGGGATGCTTTTCTCAAAACACCTCTTAAGGGGTGTGTGTGGGCAGACAGTCCTTGCTTTGTATAAGTAGTCCATAGCAAACTGTGTGATGTGTAAGGCAATCCCAAGGTTTCTCTCAAGTTCTTGGATTTATTTGGGGCAGGAAGAAGAGATTTTTTCCCTAATGTTTTTTCCCATAAGATCCAGGTAGCAGCAGTGCCTCAAAGCTGGGTGGAGCTGTCTAGCCCTGTCTGTGCCCAGGGAATGACAGTGTGCTGCCTTCAGATATGATGCCGAGCCAATGAATTCATAGTGCCTGTGGGTTCCTGGACCCCATGGGCCTCAGTGGTAGGGGACCTTGGAGAGATCCTTTCTCGGCTTCCTGCTACAGCACATCCAGAAGCCATCTAAAGATCCCAGCACATGTCCTGGGTAAACCCACTGCTGTTTGAAGACCAACTGTTTAGCCTCGCTGGCAGGAGCTGAAGGCCAAGATCTGGCTGGGGAAGTGACCTCTGCTGTTACAACATTTGGAGGGTAGCTGCAGTTTAGCTGCAGTAGTGTGGCAGCCTTCCCTGGCCTCTGCTAATAATATCTCCCACGTGTCCCAGTGCCGCACTGGGGATGACTCAATCCCCCTGTTATGTAGGTTGCTGGTGGTGCGTAAGGACTTCTGTAGAACTGTGTTTTAATAACAAAACCCAAAGCTCAGTGAGAAGAAGACACTTAGAAGTTCAGTTGGCAAACCACTAGTTTTGCTCCCAGCTGATTTTGTTCTTTGTTACTTGTTTTCAAAATGGTTTTTAATGATTGCTGTTTATTTTTCAATGCTCTTTGTCTGTCTTTGCTTCTGGTACGTGTAGCGTTGCCTGTAGACCAAGGTTGGCTTTAATTAGGGAAATACTCATTGGCGTGGGTATAACTGAAAAGCTTTGAGATTTTGTAAAAAGATAGAAAACGCTGTGGAAAGCTTACAGCCAGCAGCTGAAGTATCTAATTTCTCCTCCTCAGTGAATTGAAGCTGTTATGGATTATTGAGGACAGGGATTATCCATTCTCTGCTAAGCAGCTTTACTGAAAATATCAAAGATGTAGGAGAAAACCCAGGTTCATTAACTTTTTTTTTTCTGTATATTGCATGTTTTTACCTTCTGCTTTATTTGCAATTGAAGGAGAAATTTCTGTGAAAGTGTCTTGGTTCCTTGAGGAGGTCAGCACGTGGAAGCATACTTCTTGAGTGCCTTTCTTACTTCATGGTGTGGAGTTTTTCTTTCTTTCAGTGAACCCTTTGCACTGGTGTTAGCGTAGCTGGGTTATGCTTTTTCCTTCCTTCTCCTTGTTTTTCGAGGGAAGTAGTTTTTCATGCTGCACGTGTACAGGTGTTGTACCTTCTAGCCATCGTGAGTGGGGCTGAAGTTATCTTCAACTTGGCATTTGAGGAAACACATGGGTAGCCACTTCCACTTAAAAATTAGGCTCTGTGGATTTGCTTTGCAGATCCTGATATGACTGGCATTAAAAGATGGAGGTAGAGCATGAGGGTCATGTCTGCGAGGCTTCTCATCACCTGCAAGAACCGTGGTGGGGAGGACATGATGGTATAGGAAGAACATTGAACTGAAGCAGTGCAATCACTGGTGCACTAAAAAGTTTGCAAAAACCCAGAAGTGTGAGAGTGCTGCCCTGCTTCCTATGAGTTAATGGTGGAGATGTGTCTCCTGCGCAGAGGATGCAGAGCCAAGGATTCCTGTGTTCTGGTCCCAGTTGTACTGGTCCCAGGAGTCCCAGTTGCAACTTAGCTTCCTAATCTTAGGAAAATCCCCTAAACCTTTGTCTTTCCATTTCTAAAGGGAGGAGAGTCCCTCCTGGGGAACAAATGAGTTGCCTTTCTTTAGGTGTGTTGAGCCCTTACAGCTTTTGACAGCTTGTGTTCAAAGGTGATGAAAATAAACCACACTAGCTCTTTGGAACCTAGTGGGGGTGCAGGATTCTCTGGCTGCTCCTCTTTGGAAAATGAATCTTTGGGACAAGTTGTTTAACTCTCAGCTGCAAGCATAAGTGCCTGTATTTATGTTTGTTCTTGCAAAGGTGTTCATAGGCCATTAGCAAGTCTCAAATGTAACTCCATCAGAGGGCTTGGAGCTCCATATGCTTCAGTGTAGGCAGGGAGAGCCTGAGGTTATCCACTGGAGGACTTCTTGAGCCGGAAGATTTAAATGGAGGAGAATATTCTGGAGTGCTAATGTAATAGTGCAAAACGCAGTATACTGGGAAGGGACTGGCCCTTCCCTCACCCCATTTTCCCCAGGGCAGCTTGGAAGCTGCCTCCCAGCCACTGTGTTGCCCTAATGCCAGTGTTCACGGCCCAGAGCGGCCAGCCAGGCCAGGCAGACCTTTCATTGTGGCAGGCACAATACAGGGATTTGCTCCTGACAAAAGGGCACTCCAGCGGGTGGTAGTGGGGGGCAGGGCGGGGAACCAAGGCTTGTTTACATGCCAGGTCCCCCAGGAAGCCTTGCCATGGAGCTCAAAGGGGAATTTCTCCAGGCTGCAGCTTGTGGACAACAAACCACTTCAACAATGGCTGTTCTGGGAGTGACACCAAGTGGTGATACACAAGGGAAGCCACTTTATTCTAAGGGTCTAGAGCTGGCTGATTTCTGTGCAGATGAACCAGGTGACTTCAGCCAGCCTGCAGGTCTTCCAGTGGCTCTGCCTTTTCTGGGCTGCCTGGTAAGCAAGCTGCTCTGGTGTTTTCTGGGGAGGGAGGGAGCAGGGACACTAGTGGAGGTAGGACAGGGGGGCTTTTGCCTCTCTGCATCACAAAATATTTGCAGAGGAGTTGGGTCAAATTATTAATTCGACTTGTACTCCTTTTTTGAAGGATTGATCTGCATCCTTCTGAATTCCTAGGAAAGCACCCTTGGATGAGAGAAGAGGATGCATGTGTACATGGTTGGAGGAAGTAGCGAAGCTAAAGAAATTACAAAACACAGCAAATGGAGTAGAAACACATCTGGGGATATTTTCACAAACCCAAGGTGTTGGAAGGCAGAAATCCTATTAATTTTCAGGGGTGTTCCTTATTTCTAAATCCGTTTGGTACACTGGGAGCTCTCTTTCATCTGTCCTTGGTTTTGAGCAGAAGTAACGACACATTCCTGAAAGACACAGTTAACAATTCCTTTATTCTCATTCTCCAATGGCCTTTTTTTCTTGCCCAGGGGCTGCAGTGAACCTGACTCTGGTGACCCCAGAAAAGGCTATCAAACTGGCAGCCAATGACTTCTTCCGGCATCACCTCTCCAAAGACGGGTGAGTAGGGAGTTGACCTTCTGCGGTCAACTTAAAAGACATCAGCTCTTGGAACACGTCTGGTGAGACGTCAGGGCAAAGGTGGAACGGGGTAGTGCAATGACTGAAATATGAGTTGACCTTGAAGAGCTCAGCTGGTGATTACATTCAGAGTAAGGATGTAATGTCTAAAATGGGAAGCGTAAAGCACTCCGCTGGATGTCTGCTCTTTATTCAGGCTTCTAAAAATAGTCCAAGACTTAAGCCAAGGTTGGTAGATCCAGAATTTGTAGAGTAAATATTTGAGAGGAACCCAGTGGCACTGATCATTGCTCAATCAGCTGCTGGGAGGACCCTTGTCCTCAGCATCCTACTGGATGCTCTGATGCTCCTTCTTGCTCGAACAGATGGCGAGTCAAGTTCTGTAGACCTCAAACTTAGTCTCCCTTTTCTCCTCCTGTATCTTGAAAACAGTTTTAGAGGGGTGGTGAATCTGAATTAACAAAGGGCACTTGTGGCATTACCCAGCCACTGACCTGCATATAAATGCTGAAGGAATAAAATTATCTGTTCAGCTTGCAAGGGGAGTGTGGTTCATGTGAATTGAATGTGAGTAAAAGATGCAAGGTAAGCAGTTGAGAGGGGCTGGGCCCTGAATATTTAATGCCATTTTCACCAAGATATTTCCCTTGCAATTTGGAGAACACTTGTGTCTCCCTTCAGGCAGAGACCTTTCTCCACAGACAGAGAAGAACACTATCTCCAGTCCTCAAGTGACAGTAGCTGGAGAACAGCCTGCTTGGGATATGATCCCAACTCTTCTCATGAGCAGTTATGAGGTGGAGCCTCACTGAAAATGCAAAGCTCTGGCACGATTACTTGGCTTAACAGCTTCCCAAAACATACCACGTCAGTCTTGGCTGCTGCAGATCAGTGGCTCAACAGCTTCAGTGGAGATTGTGGACTGACACAGGTTGAGGATCTGGTTTTTTCATGTACCTATTTTTTTTTGTTCTGGAGTCTTTTAAAATATCAGCTAACATATGTCTGGGTGACTCATCAGCTCGCAGCTCTTTGTGATTTTCTGTCTCTTCAAAGAGTGTCTCTGCTGTGCTGTGCTCAGACAGTGGGAGGTGATGATGTCCTCATGACTCCTCACCCCTGCCAAGCGGTGTATCTGATCCCTGCAGCAGACAGCAGAGCACACCTTGGTGTACTGCAGGAGACAGCGGCACAGCTCTACCACCACCTACCGAGGGGGGGCTTAGTAGGTTGTGCAGGCAGGACAGCGGGGTGCCAAGGTGCCACGTCTTGTACTGCCACTGAGAGAATGGCCCATGGAAGAAATCAGTCTGGCATTGCAACATATTTGGCATTCTGTGAGAGCAGTCACTGATGTGATGTTTCACCCATTAAAATATGACATGCCTGTCAGTGGATGTCCTGCCCCATGAGAGGTAAAGACTTCCTCAGAGGACAAATGTGTGTGTCTGCCTCAGTGGTGAGTAACTTAGAGCAGGACTTGGGTAAATGGGATGCAGCTGTTTCCATGAGCAGCTGAGGTTTTTACTCAGACCTCTTCCAGTTTGACTTTTGGGTTCTTGGCTGGTTTACACAATGATGTGGGTGACGGGCTGCACTTGATTCAGAATAAAGGAGCTAGGGAGTTTTTCCAAGAGTTCTCCTAAACCACTACCCAGGTGGTATCATGCTCCTGCCCCAGGTCACAGTCATAGACTGTGACCTGGGGCAGGAGCATGATACCACCTGGGTAGTGGGGAGCCTTTGTGTCTCGACACAGAGTGTTTTTACTTCCTTTATAGAAAACAGAGGTTGGGCCCCAGTTAGTTGACAAGATCTAGGCAGTATGTGGAGTTGGGGTCGCTCATCTCATTCAACCACCATGGGGGGCTTGGATGAGTGAAATCTGGTCAGCTCTTCTCATGAGGGTAGCCAGCTTGAGCTGGACAGAGAGGCAGAGCCTTGATACTGCTGTGGTAGATGGTTTAAGGTGTTTCTAACAAGAAATGTCACTACAGGAAAGAAAATGCCTTGCAGTTTTTGTCTGGGTGATACAGGCTATGAACATGGAAGTTCTAGTGCATTCTGTCATCTTGCTTAGTGCATAGGGGGTAGAGGGTGATGGAAAAGGCCATGATATTACCAGTGATGCTAAGGGCAGCTGCTTATCATGGGGTCCCTTTGTGTTAAGGAAATCCAAGGCCTGGGGATGGAGTATGTAACCTGCTGGAGGAGTTGTGCCTGGCCATGCTGCAGGCAGTGCATGTACCTTGCCTTTGGCAGTCCACGTGGTCTTTTCCCATGTGTAGCACGTGCAGCAAATAGGAGTGATGGCAAGGGGCTGTTGCATTGAGTCACAAAGCTATGTGACCCCAAGGGCTTGCCTTGCTCTTGCAAGCTTTTTGCAGTCTGCAGGTTTCTCCTTTTGGATGCTTCTGTCCCATTCTCCCCAGTTGTCTTTGTAAGACAGGGCAGGATGAGCGGTGCTGGGATTCAAAGGCCTCTCCTATTCGAGACAAAACAGGATGTGCAAGGCTGGACCACCTGTTTCACAACTCCAGTCAAAACCTAGGTATGAACACAGAATAGCTTGGGGTTAGAAAAGTGAAGATTCCATGAAGAAACATGCCAGCTGCTGCCTGGCATGTGAATGTGGTTTCATTTTTTGATATGCAATTGCATCAGTCAAGGTGTTATATTGGGTAAAGCACAGCTGAGGGATAAGCGTAAGGGCTCAGTGAAAAGCTGGGTGCTGATTTTCATGGTGGGCCAGCAAGATCTTGGTTCATCTCCACCAAAGTAATTTTTGCACAATCCAGTCCTTCTGCTGTGCATTCATAGATGCTGTACTCTTAGGTCAGTATCCCAGAGGATGCTCTGGTGCTTTTCTGACTCCGCAAAAGTCTTCTAGACCTGTTCGACATTGAATGCTTTTGTTGCTAAGTATCTAGCACTTGTCTTGCTTGAAATATGTTGCATGAGTTGGTGATCCTTTTCTGATAAAATGTGCATGTCCTATCAGTATTTGCTGATTAAAATACGTGCTATTAATATACACCTCCATGTGCAGGTGGAAGAAGCATGTGTGGACCAGACACTGTGTGGCAAATCCAGCGTGACTTCAAGTAGTCTTAAGTTACACAATGACTTCCAGTGTATATGGATTTATTTATTTTTGTCCTTTGAAAAACTTAGTGGTGAAATTGCTTTTAAACTGCTAGGATAAAAAACTGGCATAAAGCCTATTTTTGAAAGGCCAGACTGAAAACAGCACCTGTGGTGTGGGAAGCTGCTGGCTACAAATTGCTGGAAGAATATTTTGGGGATGTTGTTATTGCAGGCTTGTGCTAGACTCCCTTTTCCCTGTTTGTGTTCTTGGATGCTGCTGGACATAGAGTATTGGGACAGCAGATCCTCATGTGGGACTTCATGCCCTTGTTGGTGCATCTATGTCCTTGTGTCTGGAGATGTCCCTTCCTGCAGCTCTCTCCACCCTGGGACTAGCTCAATGCTTTTCCCTTCCCTTTGGTGCCGGAAGGTTGTGTGCCCTCGGGCTGGGGGACTTGATTTCCCCTTCTTTGCCAGTGTCTATTTTGATGTCATTACGACAGCCTGCAGCTACTGCTGCTTGCTTCATGAGGAAACAAAACTGAGTTGGTCCTCCCAAGCTGTCCTGGTTATTTAGCAACAAAGGAGGCCAGAGTGAGTTGTGTGAGTGCCTAAAACACTTGCTATGCCAGGGAGGAAAGGAGGAAAACCAAGATACTGAAAACCTGAAGGACACCCCATAACCATGACTGAGAGAGGCAATAAGGGTCAAACATTTTTCTGTGATAATTTTTACCTGAGAGCCTCAACAGTTCCCAGGGAAAGAAGAAGAAAAGGTGACTCACAGAAGAGTCTTCAGGCAGGTCCTTGGGGTACTCTGTGGGGAAGAGTCCCCCTGTGGCTGGGGAAGGCAGGATGTGTGAGAGAGGGGAAACTTCCAGTCTTCAGGCTGCTGGAAACAGGTGGGATTTTTTTTTTCCTGTAGCTTTCTGAAGCTGGATGTGTTGAGAGATTCATAATCTCACAGCTACTGTTAAATAAAATAGTAGTGGTTTCATCGTCTAGAGCACAGGACAAGAGAAGAGGGCTGAGTGAAGCACTTGAGTGTGAAACTCTTGGGTGTGAAGCTGAGGAAGTGATTTAGATTGGTAATACACCGGTTTTTATAGCATATCACTGATTTTTGGGTGGCCAGTGTGCAAGGCCTCTTTGATTGATGTAAGTAGTGCCTACGTTTTATGTCCTCTTGGAATCTGGGTGTTAAACACTTCATAAAAATCAGTCCCTTTAAAGTGTCCTACATGGTTTCATGTTTCTCTCCAAAGTGTTGAGTGCCAGACAGCTGTTTTGTTTGGCACGTGTTTGCCAAGTTTTGTTCATTTTTCAAGTTCTTGGTGAAATATTCTACCTTGGCTACAGTAAGAAGAGTTTCATGCCTTCTTACATGAGCAATTTGTTGCTCATAAAAACTCTCCAGTGTCCCTGGATGAGTTTCCTACTGCTCTTCTCCAAGGTGTGTTATTCCCTTACTTCTCCTGACCTCTTTGATCTTGACCTTTATTTTGTTTGCTGTGCTGAAGCAAAGGCTGGCAATCTGCTGTCTTAGCAGCTCAGATCCCTAGGAAGGCCAGCATGACTGACTTAATTCTGCCTTTGCTGATGCCAGCAAATTTTCTTCCTTTTTGCTTCCCCCTGACCTTGTGGCTTTGCTCTGGGAAGAGAAATAGCCAACTGCAATTCTGAGACAAGCAAGGCCCTTTTCCTTCAGTCCTATGCAGGTGTGGAGACTGGAGGTTGTTCTCCATTGCCTTCCAACTGATACGTCTTCCCGGGACTTTTTTCTTCATCTGCTGTCCTTTCAGCCTCTTCTAAAATATTCAGACCATCTCTTCTATGGCACCTGTTAAAGTATCCGTTGCATGACCTGGCTGATCCTTGAGCTGCAGAATGCTGGCAGACAGGCTGTGAAGTGGGACTCTTGATTTTAGAAAGGAGGGATGCTACTGCTAGTCCTGGTGCTGAGCTGCTGAATCACCCTGCACACACTGTGCTTTGGTCTTTCTCTGCCCTTGTGGGTCAAGACAGCCTCTCCTGCAGTTATCCATGGGATGCCCAGACATTTCTTTATTGTAGGTAACCCTCATCCAACTCACTGAGACTTGTAGGTGAGGGAGAAAGAGACGGTTAAGAGCTGATAATCTCCCTGTGCCTATTCAGGGATAGCTCTTTGGGGAGGGCTCTTTTATTTAGCACACAGAGACTCGGGGAATTACAATGGGTTAAAGCTGTTGACATCCAAGGTCAGCCAAAAAGTAAATGCACTTTTAACTGTTAATCTGGAGGGAACTAGACATGGGCTGTTTAACCACAGAATGCACCCAGGAGAGGAGCACTGCCCTTGTCACCATTCCAGGCACACGTCTTGGGACAAAATGAGGGCTGTGTTCAACATGCCCAGTCGTGTTACCCTGTTCCATTGTTCACTTCCACAGACATTCATATTGGAAAAAAACACTCGGGATCTCCTGCCAGGGCAAACCTGATGCAGGCACAGAGTCAGCCTTCTCTTGACTTCTTTCAAACATGCACTTCAGAGCTCCTGCACATATCTGGAATAATGACTACCAGAGCAACATTTTATCTGCCAATGCTACTTTGAGGCATATTTGCCTCACATCAGTGCTTCATTTTGCTTGTCTGAGGTGTTTTTGAGCTGACACTAGAAGTGAGAGGGAGCTTGTAATGGGAGCTTTCTTGCTTTTACATTTCACAGCTTCCTAGGTCCAGTTTTCTGAAGTGTGGCTGCAGCTATTTGTTGTTCCCCCTTGGAATATCAGGGGTTGGGTTACAGGGAGTGACTGGTATTTTGTGAGCGTGTCCCCAGGGGGCTGTGGCAGACAGGGTGCCCTCCCTTTGAAGGATGACTCCTGTGTGTAGGTCCCCTAATCCATATGAAATACCCACTGTTTAAATTGTTTGAAAGAAACTGTCTGGTTTGAAACTCTTGGGGAACATTCTGCAGTCTGTTGGGCTGACAGACCAGAAGCAGAAGTTATATCATGAGTGAAGAAGGTGATTTCCAAGCTGGGTACACTAGCCTCTTGGGTAGGAAATGGAAATGGATGGCTTTGCATGGATGTTTCCTTAGGTCAGAGATTTCCTGTCCAGAAATCTTATCATCCTGATTCCAGAATGACTCTTTTTGGTCCCTGCCCAAGCACAGTAAACTCCCACATGATCAAGATTTTTCAGAAACTTGAAAAAAATACTACTCTGCTCCCATGTGACATCAGTATACCAGTGCTGTCAGAGATCCTAACTTTGGACTGATGTGTTGCTCTCGAAAAGTCCTCCATAAACCTCTAGTTCCTGTTTTTTACTTTATTTTTCAACTCTAGTTTAAAACTCTTAGTTTACATCCAGCATGAATCTCCTCCCCTTCCCATTTGTCGTTGTTGATTTGTCACAAATTAATTGTATGTCAGTTAAAAAAATGGAATGACTGATTTCTGCCAGTGCAGAATTTGGGGCTATTGTATATATTTTATATTTAACACCCTCTTGCTGTGATGAAAGATGATTTCTGCATTTGTAGGACCAGATCTTTGCTGATATTGCAGCTTTTGAAGTTAGTTGAGATGTGCCAGTTTTTAAACCACTGAGGATAAGGCCTGTGGTGCCTTAAATATTTAAACCCCTTTGTTGTCTAGACATGAACCGTTCTCAAATTCCTTTTATGTGCAGACTGGTGAGGTTTTGCAAAGGGAATTTGACCCTTGTATGGCAAATTTTAAACCTCTAGTCAAAAGATTTGCTTATCTTAGGCTACATTTTTCTTGGACTCTTCCCAGTTCCCAACCAAAAGCTGAAAGGCCTTGTTCTGGGTGCTTTTGATGTACCTGTTTGACATCTCTAAAATAAAGCCACATGCATAATCCTTCACTGGGTCACACTGGCATAGCTCCACGGAGTTCAGTCAAGCCAGCCTGACTTTCCTTGGCTGGGATAATGGCCCACAGATGAACAAGTAGGCCAAGTCTTCCCGATCTTTTGAACTGGGTATCAAAGCAGTCACCCTGGATGCAAGCCAGGAGATATGTACTCCAGGGATGCTCCAGGGCTCTTGCTAAACTGGGAGACGCTCTGCTGTGTTGTAGAGGGAGACTGGCAGCCAGCCAGTGGTTTGCTTCCTCCCACGGCCATGCTAGGGACTGTGCAGCCTTGCTGCTGACTGCACTGAGCCATGCAGAGGCTGCTTCTGTGCTTCAGGCTGGCCAAAAGACACAAGTTGGCCACCTCCAGCTGGCAGTAGCAGTGGGGACCCTTGGATTGGCACACCCTGATACCTCTGTGCCTCCAGGAAAGCTTGCTGTGCACACTTCAGCACCCATGTGGGTAACGCCGTGGGAGGGATTGTTCTTTGCAGCTTCTCATCTTTGGGGGAATTTTGGAAAGGGGAGACTGTGAAATATTCCTTCCTTCAGCCTCATAGGAGAGCTCTATATTTAGTTGCTGGTAATCTCTGCTGTGCCTCTAATCCCCTGCTCCGATATCCTCCCTGGAGAAGATGAGAGGTGGGGAAATCGGCCCAGCTGACGTGGTGGCCCAGCAGGATTACAGCACATCTGCCCTCCCTTTCCTGTAGGGATGGCAGTGCTTTGCTGGCCCACTGCACCACGTTGTGCTCTGTGTGTGTGCATGTGAAACCCCTGGCACAGCAGCGTGCCTTGGTGTTGCAGGGGAATAGGGCATATCATTGGGGGACTGCTTTTGCCACTGTGTGGGGACTCGCCTTGAGCAGGTTAAGATGAGGTATTGCTGCAGGAGCAGGGCTGTGGGAGGCAAAGATAGTACATGCATTTAAAACAGAAAAAAGATGAGACAGTTTCTCTTTGGCTGTGTGATTTATATATGCCTCTTTTTTTTCCCCTTTATAGGGAAGAGAACGTCAGATGTACTTTTTAATCAAGTCAGTGTTTTCTGGTGCCAAGGTGTGAGGTTTTTTACAGGGCAAAAACGCATCAGTTTCTAGAAATTGAGACTTCATGAGCATTTGCATCCTGAGTTCCTCCTTTTAGTCTTAGCTGGCCTATTTCATGGCTTTGGAATGGAGAGAACAATGAAATGCTGCATTTTGTTAGGCAAGATCATGTCACTGATAATCCCTGCTCTCTAGTGCAGAGAGGATGCACAAAGTTGCAGTGATGGAGGTCCATTCCACCCCTTGTCTCTCAGGAAGATTAGTGCAAAGGCTACTTTTTCAGTTTTGGAAAGGCTGGTGAGATGAAGCAACTCCTAGCCACACAGGAGCTGCCTCCCTGATTCATGTTTGCTGTTTATTTATTTTGCTTTTCTTGGAGAACCCCAAAGTAGCAAGTGGAATATTTCCCCCCCCTTGCTCTTTGTCCTGTGGTCTCTGTTTGTTGACAGTGTTTAAAGGACTAGGCTGGCAGAAGGAAAGCTGCTTATCTCCCTTTAATGCTCAGGTCCTCTGGTGCCCTCTGAAGTTGATACCCTTTCCGAAAGCTGTGCCCTGACCAGGGGCAACATCGTGCTGTAGAAATGCTGAAGCACTCTGTCTGTGGATGCAGAGGGTTGTGTGCTCCCATCTGGGGCTGTTCTGACTGGGCTTGTGGCTTTTCCTGAATGTTCTGTTTCTGGGGCCAAAGGGGTCTGTTCTCTGGGTCTGGTGATGCCAGCAGAGATGCCAAGCCTGGGCTGTGCTGAATTGTCAAGCCAAGTCCTGTGTCCCGGGCTGCCTTTCCTGTAACCTCCAGGGTCAGAGATGTGTCCCGAGCCTTGTACCAGCTGCCCCAGGGTTACTCCAGACCACCTCCTCTGACCACTCTTTTCTTTGGGCAGGAAAAAGCTGACACTGATGAAGGAGATGCTGGCGGGCTGTGGCGCAGGTACCTGCCAGGTGATTGTCACCACTCCCATGGAGATGCTCAAAATCCAGCTGCAGGATGCAGGACGTATTGGTATGTGAACTTCCCTTCCCTGTGCACTGAGCAGGCAGGGGAGAGAGGGCTGGGACTGGATTTTCAAGGTGGAGGTGAGAGAATGAGTGGAGCAAACTCCTTTGCCCTGCTCTCCTGTGTCAGAGATATCTCAGGCAGTAGTAGAAGTTTCTCCTCTGTTTCCCAACTTACTTCCCCCCACACTTCTCTCAGCTGGCTTTGCAGAGGCCCTCGAAGTTACAAAAGGTGATGTTTTTTTTGCTCAAAGCAATAGGCTTGGCAAGTGAAACAGCAAATGCTGCCAGTGGGTGGAGAGACAGGAGAGATGATTGGGTGGTCATCCTATGAATGATTGAAACTCATTAGATACTGTGCAACCAAGAAGGGATTAGCATCCTCCAGTGACTTTCCCCTGTGATGTTTCCTCCATCTCCATGTTTTCTGATGTCTGTTCTTTCTTTCTTCTACCCCCCTGTAGCACCTCCCTAACAGCTTCCCGAGGGGATGTGCTCTTTCCAAATGACTTGTCTCCCCTTATATTCTGTCTTCTTCCTGACCAAAACAGCAGTTGTCTCAACTGAAACAGTAAATAAAGTTCTCCCAGTGCACTGGATTTGAACAAGGTTTGGGGTCAGGCTCTCGGGACTGTGGGCAGGAGCTGGCAGGCAGAGGCAGGAGGGAGTGTGAGCCTCTTGGCTGAAGCAATGTGGAGTGTTTTTAGTGAGAATGCAGACCAGTCTGACACAGAGACGCTAGGGGAAAGAGTTGATTGCTTTTGCCTTAGTCTCTTCCAGGGTCAGCCTGGGCGATGGCCTCACTCCCCAGGAGCTCTGCATGACACTGTTAAAATCCATGTTTGTGGCTCTTCCTGGAAAATGGGCCAATTTGCCCTTTAATCTCTCATTGGATGTGGCGCTCCTGAATAATCGCGGATTTACTTTTTCTTTCCTCTCTTCACTGTTTTTAGTGCAGACCTTATCCTCTTTGTGCGTATTATTTTAAAATGTTTGAAGGAATTAAGCCGTGGTTTGAGGGTTCAGGAGAGGTTTTCGCTGCTGTGAACAGCCTGTTCTCTGCGTGGCGGGAGAGCCGTGGTGTGCCAGTGTCAGCCAGAGGATTGCCTACAGGTTGATGTGCTCTCCATCTTCTGGCCAAAGGGCGGAATTGCATCAGTTGGGAAAGTGGGAGAAACCAGGTTGTGTTTATAAATGTGGCTGAGAAACTCCCCGGGTTAATGATTGCTTTCAAGGGAAGGAGGCAAAGAACAGAACTATTGAACATCTCTTATTTATGAACATCTTTACTTTGTCATACAGGCAGCTTGGGGACACAGCTGGAAGCAGGGATAGGCACCTGCCTACTCATAGCAGGTCCTGTTCTCTGCACTGCAGAGATTGTGTGACAGGCTGCTCCTGCTCAGGCAGACCATTCGGTGGGAAAAGGCAGTGGGCATCGCTGTGGTGTGGCAGCACCTGCTGCCGGACTGGGGCAGGCTGAGGGAGATGGGCAGACTGGGAGCAAAAGCTCGCAGGGCACCTGGCTGGCCTTCTGTGGCCTTTGTGCATATTTTGTCGCACCTGGAGATCCGCCTCTTCCTCCTTGTCCCGCGGCACCAGGCAGCGAGAGACGCTGCTGAGCAACTTGCAGACCCGTGGTTGTGCTCTCTTCCCCAGCGGCACAGAAGAAGCTGATGGCGGCACAGGCCCAACTCTCGTCTTCCCCTGCGGCGGGGCTGGCCGAGCCGGCGGTGGAGACGCGCACCACAGCGACACAGATAACGAGGGAGCTGCTGCGGAGCAAGGGCATCGCGGGACTCTACAAGGGCCTGGGGGCCACACTGCTAAGGTAGGGTAGGGTGCAGAAAATGATGGTCCTCTGCATGTGCTGGGGTCTTCAGTTTGAGCGCTGAAGAAAAGGGGGAGCCCACTGATTCTGCAGGGCTGCATGCCTCCCGTGGGCCTGTGTTCCTTTGTGCAGTCAGTTTTACCCCTGTGAGTTTCCCCTCCTGTCTGCGTTGCAGTTGCAGAGCTGGGATGTCTGCATTGCACTCATGGCTGTGCTGCCGATGTGTGATGCTTGAAGGCGTTCCATTGCTCACTTTCTTGGTGTCCCTCTCTCACTTGGCTCATCCTTGTTCTTCTTTCTTTCCTTTCCTCCCACCCCACTGCAGGGATGTCCCATTCTCCATTGTTTACTTCCCACTGTTTGCAAACCTGAACAAGCTGGGCCAGAAAGACCCCAATGTCAAGGCTCCGTTCTACGTGTCCTTCCTCTCCGGATGTGTGGCTGGCAGTACGGCTGCAGTGGCTGTCAATCCTTGTGATGGTGAGTCCTGAGCAGCCTGTGGTGATGGCCTGGTGCCAAGTGACAGGAATGAGAAGCCCAGAGTGGCCTAGGTGAGGAGGAGGAGGTGACTGCCAGTATGAGGGCGCAGGGAGGCACAGGAGGCACTCTGCTGTCTGAACTGCCACCAGCTCAAATGATATGACTTCAGCTGAGCTACAGTTTTGGCCACAGCTTGCACAGAGGTTTGCAGTACTCCCTAGGTACATCAGAAAGAGGGTGTCATTCATTTCAGTCATTCTTCATGAATGGCATCAGACATGCCCCTGAAAAGCCACGTTTCCATGTGGAGTGATAATATGCAAACCACTTGCATACATATGGTCATGGACAAACAGAGAAGTCGCAGATTTGTGGCCTTTTCTTCTGCTCCACAGTATCTGCCTTAAATACCACCTTGGTTTCTCTCCTGTGAAAAACACCAGGAAGTAACATCTCCCTCTCCAACACTGCACACAATCCAAGGTGTGAAAAAATGTAAGAGCAGAATCGTATATTTTAGATAGTTCTCCCAGAAGGAGCTGAGCGTTTGAAAAGGAGTTCCCACATTGCAGAAAGATATCTGAATTTGGAAGTGTTTAAAGCTTAAGTCAGCCTTTGAAACTGAATCACAGTGAGGGGAGAGGTTGGGTTTTGGATGGCTGTGTGGGTTTTTTATTTGTTTGTGAAGGGATGGGTGTTCCTCATTCTTGCTGATAAATATATGAAAGTGGTCTGTGTTCTTGGTACTCTCATTTTGACTGTGTTTCAAAGACATTACTCTTGGGCTGGCCCTTGCCTGCTACGCTTCTAGTGCTCACCAGCGTCTCTTCTCTTTTTGTCCCCAGTGATCAAAACGCGGCTGCAGTCCCTGCAGAGGGGAGTGAATGAGGACACCTACTCGGGAATCCTGGACTGCACCAAGTAAGACTCCTCGTGAAGGAGGCCACCACATTAGGTGTATGGCATCTGCTGCTGCCTGCTGCCAGGCTGGCAGTGCAGCTTCTAGACACAACCAGCAGCTTCTGTTCCAGGCTCCCTCTGAACCTGTGCTTTAATCTCTATCTATCTATCTATCTATCTATCTATCTATCTATCTGTCTGTCTGTCTATCTGTCTATCTGTCTATCTGTCTATCTATCTATCTCTATGCATAGACGGATATAGATTATATATAGATATATGGTTATATATATATATAGTTATATAAAAGAGAACTTCTCCCCATATTGAGCAAGATAAATATAGCATTTATATTTAAATACTTATGACCCCAGTAGTCATAACAGTGAGGTTTTATTTCTGCAAGGGAAGGCAATGCTGTGGTTGTCTCTCCCGAGGCCCTGTTGTCTGAGAATCCTACAGTATTAAGTCTGGTATCCCTCCTGGGACTGCTCTGCACAGTGTCTGCAGGAGGACTGCCAGAGTGGGCTGTCCGCAGCTGCACTCTCCTCTGATCCTATGCTAAACTATGGTCTGGCTGCTTCAAAACATGAAAGGACTTTTTCTGCTTCTGTATTTCTGTCATGGCCAGAATCTCTTGCCATCTGGCTGTGTCCCATGCTGAGGGTGGAGCTGGCCCCACTTTGGTACAGGGGGACCTCTTGATGTAAGCATGAGGTGGGTTGTCTTAGCTGTACTTCCAGACACAGGCAGACGCTCCTTTTTCTGGGTCAGATGTAGGGATGGGGCATGTTCCTGCATGGCAATTTGCAGAGCTGGTGGGGGATGACTGATGATCTGTTGTGGGGCGGTGCCAGGCGACAGCGCTTGCCTGGATTTAGCCTCTGGAGGGAGGCAGAAAGCCAGGGCATGGCCAGAGGCTCTCCTGGCATGGTAGAGGAGTGGGGTGGACACTTACCTGTCTCTGCTATTTTTCCCCAGGAAGATCTGGCAGAAGGAAGGGCCCACAGCCTTCTTCAAAGGGGCGTACTGCCGAGCCCTGGTCATTGCTCCTCTCTTCGGCATTGCACAAGTTGTCTACTTCATTGGCATCGCAGAGTTCCTGTTGGACATGCTCCCCAAGCCCCGGGCCTAGCCCTGGCCTGCCGGTGTGCCCTCCCGCCCTCTGCAGCGCTGAATTCATCCCCGTGTTCACCATCCGTGTCCATTGATGTCAGAGCAACAGCACAAAGGGTTCGCGCAGGGATGCCGAAGGGACGTGGTCTCCAGATGAGCAAACATGGGAGGGAGAGAGTCCCTTCTCTGTCTTGGTCTGGAACCTGTCCCCTCCTGCTCCTTCCACGGACAATAGTTAATTATTCATATCTCTTTTTTTTTTTAATTTCCCTTTTTTTTTTTTTTTTAAATTGCCATTCTTAAGGACAATGGTAAGCACAGACTGGGCTTGCAGACCCAGAAGTCTCCTCTCAGCCTTGGGAAGAAAAGAGAGAGGGGAAAGAAATAACTTGAACCCTCATCTACCCCAGTTTCCCTCTTTCTTCCTGGAGCTGCCAGCTATCTGAGGAGCTGGAGGGGCAGCTGTGTCCCCTCAGCACTTCCAGGGCTCTGCTGACCTTGGGTCAAGAGCGGGCACTGCACAAAAGGGGCCTATCTCATTGCTGCTGGAGGCACAGTGGGGGGGTTGCTGGACCTGGCAAGTTCCTTGGCCTGGAAACCTTCACTCCTCCCTTCTCCCTTTTTAAAAACGAGTTGGACTTAAATGAATGCTGATTGTTAATATTGATTTTGTAATTATTTTTGTTTT